CTGATTTATTCCACCGAGCATTATACCTTCTAGGTCTATTCATGTTGTCAAAAATGTCAAGATCTCTTTCTTTTCATGGCTCAGTAATACTCCATTTTGTAATATTCCAATATATCTCTTATCTTTTTTTTTTTTTTTAAGCTTTCATTTAAACCCCAGCTTGTAAACATACAATGTACTACCAGCTTTGGGTATACAATTCAGTGACTCAATACCTATACACAATAACCAGTACTCATCCCAAGTGTACTCCTTCATCTCCATCACCTATTTCACCCAATCCCCCCACCCACCTCCTCTTTCATAAACAACAGTTTGCTCTCTATAATTAAGAGTCTCCCTGGTGCACCTGCATGGCTCATTCACTTGAGTGTCTGCCTTCAACCCAGGTCATGAACTCAGGGTTCTGGGATCAAGTCCCACGTCAAGCTCTGTGCTCAGCGGAGAGTCTGCCTCTCCCCTCTCCCTTTGCCCCTGCAAACCACTTGTGCTCGCTCTCTCTCAAATAAATAAATATATTTAAAAAAAAAAGTCTTTGGGGGCACCTGGGTGGCTCAGTGGGTTAAAGCCTCTGCCTTTGGCTCAGGTCATGATCCCAGAGTCCTGGGATCGAGCCCCGCCTCAGGCTCTCTGCTCGGCAGGGAGCCTGCTTCCTCCTCTCTCTCTGCCTGCCTCTTTGCCTACTTGTGATCTCTGTCTGTCATATCAATAAATAAAATCTTAAAAAAAAAAAAAGTCTTTCATGGTTTGCTCACTCTTTTGTTTTCCCCTATGCTCATTTGTTTTGCTTCTTAAATTCTACACGAGTGAAATCATCTGGTATTTGTCTTTTCTGACTTTACTCATTTAACATAATATTCTCTAAGGCACCATCAACAACGTAACAAATGACAAGGTTTTGTTCTTTTTTATGGCCGACTAATATTCCATTGTCTCACACACACACACACACACACACCCCTCCATTGTGTGTGTGTGTGTGTGTATGTATATCTCACATTTTCTTTACCAATTCATCAGTTGATGGACATATCATCAGTGTTTCATAGTTTTCAGAGTATAGGTGTTTCACGTCTTTGGTTAGGTTTATTTCTTGGTATCATATTATTTATTTTTGGTGCAATTGTAAATGGGATTGTTTTCTTAATTTCTCTTTCTGCTGCCTCATTATTGGTATACACAAATGCAACAGATTTCTGTACATTGATTTTCTATCATGGGACTTGACTCAATTTATCAGTTCTAGAAGTTTTTTGGTAGAGTCTTTGGGTTTTCCCTATGGAGTATCATGTCATCTGCAAATAGTTGAAGTTTTACTTCTTCCTTACCATTTTGGATGCATTTTATTTCTTTCCCTTGTCTGACTGTTGTCGCTAAGATGTCCAGTACCATGGTGAATAAATGCGGTGAGAGTGGACATCCTTGTCTTATTCCTTATCTTATTCCTAGTTTTTCTCCATTAAGGATGATATTAGCTGCAAGTTTTTCATATATGCCCTTTATTATGTTCAGGTATGTTCCCGCTAAAACTACTTTGTTGAAGGTTTTTATCATGAAAGGATGTGGCACTTTGTCAAATGCCTTTTCTGCACCTACTGAAATGATCACAATTCTTATCCTTTCTCTTATTGATAATGATGTATCATATTGATTTAGGAATACTGAACCGCTCTTGCAGCCCAGAAATAAATCCCACTTGATCGTGATTTTTTTTTTTTTAATGTAGGGTTGAATTTAGTTTGCTAGTATTTTGTTGGGATTTTTTGTATCTATGTTCATCAGGAATATTGGCCTATAGATCTCTTTTCAGCAGTGTCTTTATCCATCCCGTTTTGGTATGAGGATAATGCTGGCCTCACAAACAAATTCAAAGGTTTTCCTTACTCTTCTATTTTCTTGGAATAGTTTGAGAATATTAGGTATAAACTGTTCTTTAAATGTTTAGTAGAATTCATCTGTGAAGCCATCTGGTCCAGGGCTTTTGTTTGTTAGGAGATTTTTGATTACCAAATCAATTTCTTTGCTGATTATTGGTCTGTTCAAGTTTTCTATTTCTTCTTGTTTTGGTAGTTTATATGTTTGTATGTTTCTAGGAATTTATCCATTTGGTAGTTTATATGTTTCTAGGAATTTATCCATTTCTTCCAGGTTGTCCAATTTGTTGACATATAGTTTCTAACATTCTGATTGTTGGTATTTCTGTGGTTTTGGTTGTTATTTCTCCTCTCATTTGTGATTTTATTTATTTGAGTACTTTCTTTTTTTCTTGTTAAGTCTGGCTATGGGTTTATCTATCTTCTTATTTATTTTCAAAGAACCAGCTTCTGTTTTCATTTATCTATTCTACTGTTTTTTGTTTCCATATCACTTACTGCTCTGATCTTTATTATTTCCTTCCTTCTCCTGATTTGCTGTTTGCTGTTCTTTTTCTAGAACCTTTAGGTATAAGGTTAGTTTGTTTATTTGAGATTTGTCTTGCTTCTTGAGGTAGGCGCCTGTACTGCTATAAACTTCCCTCTTATGACTGCCTTTGATGTGTCCCAAAAGTTTTGGACCATCATGTTTTGTGTGTGGGGTTTTTTGTTTTTTGTTTTTTTTTTTTAGAGATTTTATTTATTTGACAGAGAGAGACACAGCAAGAGAGAAAACACAAGCAGAGGGAGTGGGAGAGGAAGAAGCAGGCTTCCTGCTGAGCAAGGAGCCTGATGCGGGGTTTGATCCCAGGCCCCTGGGGTCATGACCTGAGCTGAAGGCAGATGTTTAACCGACTGAGCCACCCAAGCAGGCCTGGACCATCATGTTTTCATTTGTATTTGTTTCCATGTAGATTTGTCTTTCTCCTTTGATTTCCTGGTTGATCCACCATTCCTCATTTAGTACCATGTTGTTTAACCTCCATGTATTTGGGGTCTTTACAGATTTTTTCTTGTGGTTGACTCCCAGTTTCATAGCATTGTGGTCAGAAAAGATGCCTGGTATGACTTCGATTTTCTCAAATTTGCTGAGGATTGTTTTGTGGGCTAATACGTGATCTACTCTGGAGAATGTTCTGTGTGTACTTGAAAAGAATGTGTATTCTGTTGGTTAAGAATGGAATGTTCTGAATTTATCTGTTAAGTCCATCTGGTGCAATGTGCCATTCAAAACCACTGTTTCCTTGATTTTCTGTTTAGATGATCTGTGCCTTGATCTATTGTATTATCAATTAGTTCTTCTATATTGGTTATTAACTATTTATGTATTTGGGCGCTATGTTGGGTACATACATATTTACAATTGTTACATCTTCTTGTGGGATTGTCCCCTTTATTATTATTTAGTGCCCTCCTTTGTCTCTTGCTACAGTGTTTGTTTTAAGGTCCAGTTTGTCCAATATAAGTACTGCTACCCTGGCTTTCTTCGGACATCCATTTACATGGTAGATGTTTCTCTATCCCCTCATTTTTAATCTGCTGGTGTCCTGAGGTATAAAATGAGTCTCTTGCAGCCAGCGTATAGATGGGTCTTATTTTTTTTTATTCATTCTGTCACCCGATGTCTTTTGATTATTTAGTCCATTTATATTCGAAGTAATTACTGACAAGATATGTATTTATTACCATTTTATTACTTGTTTTGTGGTTGTTTCTGAAGACTTTCCCTGATCCTTTCTTGTCTGTCTCTCTTTCATGTTTTATTGATTTTCTTTGGTGATACATTTAGATTTCTTTCTCTTTATTCTTTACAAGTCTACCAGTGATTTTTGATATATAGTTACCATTGGGTTTGTATATAACCTCTTCTGCACATAGCAGTCTCTATTAAGTTGATGGTTGTTTAAGTTTGAACCCATTCTTTTCTCCTCTTCTCCCCATGTTTTAGGTATATGTTATTATAATTTATATCCTTTTTGTGTGAGTTCCTTGACTGATTTTTTACAGAAATATTCATTTTTACTGCTTTTGGATTTCCTACCTTTATACTTCATCTTCGGTCTCTTCTTTACACTCAACTTTCCCTTTAATATTTCTTACAATGCTGGTTTAGTGGCCATGAACTCCTTTTACTTTTTGTTCGTCTGGGAAACTATCTCTTCTATTCTGAATGATAGGCTTGCTGGACAAAGTATTCTTGGCTGAGGATTTTTCCCATTATGCACTTTGAGTATATTGTGCCACTCCCTTCTGATTTGCAAAGTTTCTGTATCTTTGCAGAAAGATCTTTGCAGAAAAAATCTCCTGCTAGCCTCATGGGAAAATCCTCTCTTGTTATTGTTATGACAAACTGCAAAGCTTAAGAGATAAAAATCAAAATAATGCTTTTTACTTAGCTTCCATACCCAAACTCATTTGCATATTGATAACCACCACAGATATATAAGCAGATTTTTCCTTTAGATAACTCAAATAAGAAGTTGTCCTGGGGTCAAAAGAAAGAAGGCATCTCTTTTTAAAAATGGCTAGTTTAGGGGTGCCTCAGTGGCACAGTTGATTATGTGATGGATTCTTGGTTTCAGCTCAGGTTGTGACCTTAGGATCATGGGATCAAGTCCCACTTCCGGCTCTGTGTTTAGCACAGAGTCTGCTTTGGATTCTCTCTCCCCTCCCCACTCACCCCACACAACCAGGTGGGGAGGCGCATGTGCAGGCCCACACACACTCTCTCTCTCAAATAATTAATCTTTCTTTAAAAAATGGCCAGTCTAAGAAATTTCCTATTTTGATGATGGTCCACATGATGAGGATGAAATATGAGAATATCCTGCATTATAATAGAAGGACCTCTATGTGTTGCTGTAGTTAACAGAAATGCGCAAATTTTACTTTTTACAATGCAAAAATTGAAATAACTTTAATTTGTGCCATTAAATGTTCTAAGAATTCTCTCAGGTTATTCACAAGATTTCAGATTTCACAAAATAATAACAAGATAAATCTCTGAGATGTTTTCCTTTACCATCTGGTGTCCTCATGTTGAAGAACATTATCAGTTTTACTATATCTGATTTCTATCACACTTACTTTTTTGTGATAAATGCTACAGAGTCCTCTCTCTATATCAGGTAGTTTACGCAGATGATTTTCTATCTGACCAAACACACTGGATTCTGAATGGAGCACTTCAGATACAGCATCTAGTCGAGCATTTATCTCCCTGTGAGAACAGAATAGTAACAATTATAAGATATGTTAGCAACTCGGAACATAGACATTTCCCACTTTTATGCCCAGCACCATGACAATAGCTACTTAGAAAAACATTAAGGGACTCCTCCTCCATGCCTCTGGCCCTTCCTAATCCCTATCATTTGAATCAAAGAGCAGGTACCATACAAGGGAAGTCAATAGCTAGGTGCAGCAGAAACTGCCTCATTAGCTTTTCCGCTCCCCCTGGGCAAACACACAGACGACATTTCCCAGTTTCCCTCTGCAATTAAGCAAGGCCCTGTACCCAAGTTGTAGACAATAAAATGTAAGCAGGAACAATTAAGCCACTTCTGGCTTGGGTCCATAAAATCATCCTGTGTGATCTTTCACATTGCTCTTTCCTCACTGAATGTTGGGCCCAGAACAATCTTGGAAGCCACATGGAAGACTGTCTTAGCCTGGATCTGTTAGTGGAACAGAAAACCCATCACTCCCATATTTGCTACCAGCTGGACTTTATATTAGCAAGAAATAAACTTTTGTTGTACTTAAATCACTGAGACTGAGGATTTATTTGCTACAACTGCTTGTTTGACCTTGGCTAATAGAATAGGTCCACAATGGGCAACCGAGTTTTCTAGTCTGACTGAAATGACTAATCATATCAGTCAAAAACCAATTCATTCAGTCAGCCAACCACTTTGATAGAAGATTTGGTGGTGGTGGCTGACCTGATCACCTGTTTGACTGAAGTGGGATGAGGCATACCGAGCCTGAGCTAAGACTGGGAGCAGTAACAGAGAGTACAGAAGATAAGACATCAGGAGACAAGGGTAGACCAGAGTTGCAGCGTGGACCACCTGGGAGAAAACGGTGAGGCTGTCAACTTAAAATGGAAACCTGATTGGCTAAATGTGCCCTAAATGGGATGTGGCCCATCTAGCACCTCTAAATGCCAAAGGTAGGTATGATAGCCATAATGTATTAAAGACTGAGTTAAATAAACATACCTAGTAGATAATGAGCACTCAGTAAAAATTTTTTTAAATGAACGAATGAGCAAGTAAGCAAAAAATCAAAGAATGAACTGACACGTCAGGCCAAAGGGAAACATGACCTTCTGAATACACGTTTGTCTAACAAAGTTCTGTTGGTACCATACCACTGATATGAAGGGCAAGCCTCAGAATCCTGCCTAGATGACTATTAAATTGAGAACTTCCCAATTAATTGAGTGCTTTTCTCTTTATTATCCTTCCAACTACTCTGTGAGGTTATGCCTGTTTACAACATGCATACTAACTTGGTTTCATTTCTAACCCATTTTTCTCTGGCTCATACTCTACTATGTAGAACAGGTATCTGGTTCAGCATGACACAGTAGAACACAACCGAGCTCTGTAGACAGACACACTGGTTCCTCCATTCTCAGTGGGGTGGCCTCTTAAATCAATCCATTTCTTTCCATCTTTACTATCGTTACACTAGTTTAAGTAAAAATTGTTTCTCACACAGACTACAAAGAGAGCTTCCCAAGTTTTCCTCCATCCACTTCTGTTCATGTTTCCAATCCAGTCTCCACACAGTAGCCTGAGTGGTTTTCCAACCATACCTCTGCTTTCACCTCTTCAACGACTTGCCAATAATCTTAGATGCAAATCCAGATTCCTTCCTTAACCCAGAAGACAACTTGTCCCTGCTTACCTCTCAAGTCTCAATTCAGGCTGCTGCCACTCTCTTCCTCTCACTGTAACTTTCAGTTAAACTGAACCTGTTGCATGTTTTGGTCACTCCAAGTTCTCTGACATCAGGGCCTCCTCATTTGCTGCTTACTCTGCCTTGAAGACTCTTGTCCTCTTTTCTACTACCTACCAGCTCCACTTTGTTTGGCAAACTCCTACCTACTCTTCTTCTGGAAGGGCTTTTTGGACTCACCAGACCAGATTTAATCCTCGATCATCCTTTTCCACACAACCCTCTACTGTGTTTCCATAGTGGAAATCGTAATTATATTTACTTCTCTGTCTTTTCTGCTGGACTGTAAGCTCAAAGAGAACAGGGATCATTTCTTTATTCCCACAGTTCTGGGATGACAATATGTGTTCAATAAGTAGTTCTTGAATTCAATTCAGCTCAATTCCGAAGACTACATATAAAGTAAATCAAGATGAGGTGAAAAAAATAAAAAATTAAATTTTCTTCGCATAGGATTGTTGTGATAAAATAAATCAATGTTTTACCCTAACGTTTACCCAAAATGCTATACAAATATAAAGTTTTATTTTAATAACTCACTCCTGCATAAATGAAAGATAACACCAATTGGAACAGACTAGGTTGATGCTACAGATGGTATGAGGACAGATAAAATAATACCATCTGTGAACGTATAAGACAGCCTACAAAGATAGCTGCTCTCTCAAAAATTATAAAGGTTGTTGGAGATACAGAAAGATAAAAGCAAAAGAGGTTAATAAAAGCCCAAGTCATATTTATGAAATCTTCCAGAAGATTTTTTTAAAAATAGACATAAAACTATAAATTTCTTAGAAAGAGATGAAAAAGGTTGTGCTAAGTTGGTCTGCAATCTGGAAAAGTACAAAGGTACTGGCTTTTTATTTTAGCCTAATGACAGCACAGGCAAAAGCATATTTACTATGAATCATTTTGGTTTTAACCCGGCCTTCACTGGTTAGGGAGGTAATCGCTCAGAAGTTAAAAATCTGGGCAGCTGACCTCAGTTCAAATCCAGCCTCTTCCATTTACCAGTTATTTAGTCTTGCCCTAGTTTCTCCATCTATAAAATGGGAATAATAATAATGGTCTCTAACTCAGAGCTGTACACGAATGCAATGAAATAATGCATGGTAAACAGTAACTACTTAGTCCAGATTAGCTGTTAACGGTGATCTTTATTTGCTTATACAATTTGTTTGGTAGATACCACAAAGAACAGCAGGAGATGGATTAGAAGGCTGCACTGAGAATGACCGAACGCATTACTAGTGTTTAAAACAGGCAGGAAGAGATTGAAGGGGTGTGCAGCACTGATTACTACAAACTTCTCACCACTGGGGGAGCTACAGTTCTACTTTTATCTCCTATCTGCAGATCAGAATGCAAATTACTAAAATGACTTCTAATCAAGTTTTTTTTTTTTAAGTTTGCATATCTTGGAACTGTTCTTTACTTGGCAGGAGTAACAAGACTTGCCAAATAACTCTAATAAAACAGTATGTCAGATTACCAAAATAGAGAAAAAATGTTTTGGTGCAATCAATGAGAGATTCAGTTCATGACAGTAAACAAAACAAGAAGTAGCACTGTCCAAAAAAAAAAAAAAAAAAGCAGCACTGTCAACTAGATGATGATAAAAGAATTTGTGTCAAGATGCCCTAAAGTATTCTATAGTTGATTTTACAGCATGACACATTCCAAACAAATGAAAGGAAGATACGTGAGTCATTTCATTCTATATGACAAAAAACAATGGACTTGAGGTCCTTTGATGACAAAGATTCTTCTTTACCACCAAAGACTCAAGGACTAAAAGTGGGTGTCACTGGAGTCCTTCACATTTGAAGAATTGGGTGATGATGCCAGTATCTATTGTGTGTGGCTGTCACTCAGGAACACAGTACGTAATCTACAGCTGTTGCATTGTAAGGACATGTGATGAAGTCTGAACCTCGTGGGTGCTATTTGTGGAGATGCCTCTACAATCCTAACATAAGGTTACCTGGAGGGGCAGGGGGCAGGAGCCGATAAAATACAAACTACTGAGGGGAGGTGGTGTTTTGTTGTGTTTGTTCTGACTTCTCACTGAAAAGTTTGCTCTAAAGACAGGCGATATAAAATGAGTAAATTAAGTTCAGACATTACCACGCTGGCCATGCAATATGGCTCAACTACCTACCTACACAGCTCTCTAATAGAAACACGAGAGTGCCTGTGACTACTTGGATCTCCCTAGCGTCACACACATCATTCACTCATTCATCTGTCTCATATGAGAATACTGTGTCATTCATCTAATGATAATAACAATTACCAAGTGCTTACAAAAGTACCAACTGTAGAAGTAGCATAGGAAAATGGATGGGAGATGGAGGCTGAAAGTGTGAGAGTGTGACGGCAGGAGCTAGGCAGCCAAGCCAGCGAACGGTCATGAGAGGGATGTGTACCACACAGGAGCTGGGACTTTCTCCTGAGAATGGGACCCAATGGGTTACATTTCAAAGGACAGAGGACAGTGGAAGGAAGACTCCAGCGGAGGGATGTTGACACTCTGAACTTGGGTAAAGGATAGAGGGATGAAAAAGCACAGGTCTGAAGAGATATTAAGGAGATCAAGTTAACAAGAGTTGTGACAGATTAGATAAGGCAAGGAAGGAGGGGGAAGAAGGAATAGCTTGAGTAAGGAGATGGGCTATGAGTCATCCACAAATATCATTATTTTATTTATTTACAAAATACATCCTAAGAAGCTATTCTGAATATGTACCTTGTTGCTAATTATACATCACCCAACAAGCTTTTGAGGATTTTTATCACTCCTATTCTAGTGACACATCATTTTAGGAACAGACAACAATTCACCCTTTTTGGAATATTAAACAGAACAAATTTTCTGACAGCTACCCTCCATTACCAGTTTAGAACATCAACTTGAGTCTTTGAAAAGAGCGTAATATGATTTTTGCTTTTGGTAATGGTGAGAACCAGTACTTTCAGATTATCATTCTAATGAGATTAATTCTAATTCTAATTTCAGGTTATTATTGTAATAATAATATCATTCTAATGAGGACAATTTAAAAGCCAAATGAAATAGAAAAACATGTTCTTAAAAGTATCAAAGAACTAACAAAATGGTGAGGAATGAATACACCAAAATCTAAAAGACAACAAGAACCTAGAGGAGAAATCCAGCCGTCAAAGCCACTTCTATACCAAAGAGACCTGCTGAACAATGAGCTAGACTCACAGTAAAGATGAACTTGCAGC